ACCACCTCCTCAGGGCTGACACTGCCCATAGTGAGCTGGGCCCTCCTACAGCAACTAATCAGAAAGGAAATATCCTCACACACATTTTCAGTTTCTAGAGGGGACACTTTCTCGTGTAAACTTTTTTTCCTTTTGGGTTGAAATTCAGAATCTCTTTTCATCCTCCCATCCCTATTTTTTTTTTTTTATTTATGCCTTAAATCTCACTATATGCCCCAGGCTAGCTGTAAACTTTCCACCCTTCTCCCTCTTCTGGTAACTGTTGGGATTGCTGGTATGTTACATCATCTGGCTCATCCCATTACTGACCCTATATTGTTTTTCTCCTTTGTGTTCAAGGACTCGTGTGATTACATGGATCTTCTGAATCTCAAGACCTTAATGTTTAATCACATTTACAACGAAATGGTTTCTGTGCAAGACAATATATTCACAGGTTCTGATGATTAGAATGTAGACTGCTTTGGACCAAATTGTTCTGTCTACTGTAGAATGTTGGAGGGAGGAGTACCACTTGTTTGTCCCAGCCGCCTGTCTGACTTACACCTGAAATATATTAATTAAATATATTACACATAGAAACTATATTAATTAAAATACTGCTTGGCCATTAGCTTTAACTTCTTATTGGCTAACTCTTACATATTAGTTTAACCCATCTCCATTAATCTGTGTATCACCACATAGCAGTGGCTTACCAGAGATTCTAACCGGTATCCATCTCAGGTGGAGGATCCATGGCTTCTCTGACTCTGTCTTTCGTCCTCCCAGCATTCAGGTCTGTTTTCTCTACCTACCTATGTTCTGCCCTATCAACTAGGCCAAGGCAGTTTCTTTATTCATTAACCAATGAAAGCAACAACACACAAACAGAAGGACCTCCTACACCATTTCACCTTTTCTGTTTAAACAGAAATGAAGTCTTTAACATAGTAAAATTACATATAACAAAACAGTTATCAAGCAAGAATTGCAGTTACAATCTTTATATCTTCTTTATCTTTTATCATAACTAAGAACAACTATAACTATAAATCTTTCAACTCCATCAAAGACTCCAGGAGGATATGATATTACCTAAGTAAACCAGAAGCGCATTGTAAGAAACTTCCAAAACTCTAGAATAGATAGAGACATCTTGCTGCCTGGACATTCACACAAAGCTTTTCTATACTGTTGGGGCATCCATCTTTGGCCTTTGGGCCCATAGTATCCAGCAGACTTTTTCACAAAGAAGAAGATTTCAAAGACAGTTTAGTCACTTTCTTCTGTATTCTACAGAATTTCTCACAGATTCTTTCATGAAGCAGGAACTCCGAAAGGTCATCCCACCCTTATGCAAGTTCAGCAGTCATTTTTATGTGGGTCCTACATGTCCAGTGAAACAGTCCAGGAAAGAGCAGTTTCTTGCTCAAATGGGTAACAAACTCCATAAGGAGCCTCTTCGACGCCCATCTTCCTCTCAAAGTAATTGGTGCTGCCAGAAGCAGATGTGTCTCACTGTCATGAAAAGTCTTAAGTTCTTAAACATTTTAAATGTCATATTTTAAAGGTCTCTGAAAGATTTGAAGAATACCTATCAAACTGAAATATATCTCTATACATCTAGAAAATCTAACATGTTGTTCAGTGATAAATTGCTTTTGCATCTGTGTATTTGTGGATGCACATGTTATGCATATATGTGTTTACATGTTGTATGTGCAAGTGCTTATATGTGTAATGAATGTGTGTTTACACAATGTGGCTTGTGTGTTTGTGTATATTGCCAGTACTTCCTGTCAGTACAGCTAAAATGAATATACCTAATCAAAGACATGGAATTTAGGAAAAAATCTTTAATCTAAAATCTTACATATTTTAAGTATATTGTGACCCCTGTATCTTACTAATGACATTCATTTCAAAAACATATGGTATCAAAAATATTACTGGGATGGACATTGAATTTAATTTGTGATAAAGTCAATGAACAGGCCATTTGAATATTTCAGAATTTGGATTCTAGTAATTTGAAGATAATGATTCACTGAACAAATAATTTCGGAGTTCTTTATGTTGGACAATGTTCATGTGATACAGACATAGCAGAAAGCACACAAAGAAGCCATTATGTCATACAAGGCAAGCATACAACAAAAAATTGTGCAACATGCACTAGTGACTTTCCTTGTGCTCATGATCCCAGCTTGAGGGAAGAGAGGCTGATTTGGCTTACAGTTTAGAGGATGCAGTCTCCCATGGCTAGAAAGGCATGACAGTTGGGACATTTTAGTCTTGGGAGACAGTAGCTTGGAATGCAACCTGACAAAAACTTAGAGGCTTAGGAAGGAAGCATGGATCAACTGTCACCTTCAAGGCCTGCCCGTAAGGACCTGTGTTTCGGATGAAGAAGAAACTCTCCAAATAGTGTTGCCCATTGGAAAACTAGTCATCACCTGTCACTCTTATTTCTTCTCTCCATTTAGGATCATTTAGGGTCCAGTTTTCATAAATTCTGCATCCTCAAAAACACCCTTGAACTCATGTCTATAAATGTCTTGAGTGTAAGAGCATTCAGTAACACTTACACTATTTTGTCTGTTGTTTTTGTTTATCGTTATTCTGAAAATTTTCTCTGATGGGATTGGCATCATACTTGGTGTCTTGGAGTGGCTCCCTTACAGTTTTCAGAAGTTCGACCCATTATCATCATGGTGGGGAGCATAACGGTGTGTAGGCAGACAAGGTGCTGAAGAAGTAGCTGAAAGATCTACATCTTGCAGACAACAGGAAGTCAGCTGAGACATTGGGCGGTGGGCAGTATCCTGAGCATCAGAAACCCCATAGTCTACCCCCACAGTTACACATTTCCTGCAGTAAGGCCATACCCACTGCAACAAAGCCATCCTATTCATTCCATTTTTTATGAGATTTTGGGTGCCAGTTACCTTCAAACCACCACACTTGGTTGTTGTTTGCATTTGTAACAGCTTCATTTCTCTTACACATGTGTGCTGTTGAGGACAGAACCACACGAACTGCTGCTGAAGCAGGGATTCCAGCTGTAACAGGGTATTACTTAAGAATCACTCAGCCGGGCGGTGGTGGCGCACAGCACTCGGGAGGCAGAGGCAGGCGGATCTCTGTGAGTTCGAGGCCAGCCTGGTCTACAAGAGCTAGTTCCAGGACAGGAACCAAAAGCTATGGAAAAACCCTGTCTCGAAAATTAAAAAAAAAAAAAAAAAGAATGACCCAATGTCCAGCTTATCTGAAACAGTCTCGATCTGTTGTTTACCGTCCTGACCATAACCCCATATGACCTCTGCATGGCATTGAAAGTATTTCTTGCCAGTACTTATTTACTGATGTCATTTCTTGAATTATTTTCACAGGTGAGCTTAAGCAGAAGGAACTTCCCAACAGTTTAAAACATCTGAACAAGAAAGGTGTAAGTAGAACCTAACAGAAGCTGTGGAACTTACTCTGTGCAATGGGAAAACAGAATGAAGACCCTGTGTATGCCCTGACCTTAGGAACTTATGAAGGTGTCTTACTTTATATTGCAGAAGAGATTTTTGCCTATCATTAACTGGGTGTGTATATGATTGAAATAATTATGGGAATATGGAAGAGGTATGTGCATAAGAAGTGAATATGCAACCCATTTATCAACTGACAGAGAGAACCACCCAAATTATGCCCTTTAGACCACACCTTTCTTCTGTGGCTTTGAGAAAGAACTCTCACTTGTGTGGTCTGCCGTACTGCCTGTCTTGACAGTGTAGCCCTGTGCGACACTACACTGCCCTGCCCCCTGAATAAAGTTATCTTGCTCTGTTTCCACATCACTATGAGCCCTTACTTTCAGTCTCTGCTTAAAAGCCTAAGAACCTGGGAAGACCAACCCGCACTCCAGCCACTCTTGTGAGACAGCTATTTCAGGGGTGACCTGGGGCCACGGCACCTTTGCACTCCCTTCCTCCTTCAACCAAACAGAGACTCGAGGACAGCTTTCCACGTCTGTGCTCGGGACCTACGATATAAATTCTGAAAGCCCTCAACCCACCTTCGGGAAGTATCTATTACTAACATTAAAGAACCATCTTTAAACTCTTGGCCCAATGACTGAGACTTTTCCGTCTGACCTGGAATCCTTTTTAAAACACAGATCCCTGAGCCCGGCTATAGTCGCCATTTCAACTGGATCCCTGGGAAAGCCCTGCATTCTAGCTGGGAGGCCATGGCTTGGAGGGGTTGGCACCTCAACCAGGCTGCTCACTACTCCAATCTCAAGCAAAGTATCAAAACATGATGCGCTAAAAGGAGCAACACCCCCTTAATAAGTAGTTGTGAGAATTACAGCTGCATATTTTGCAAACCAATACTCAGTTATAATAGTTCATGCAGTGTTATTTAGCATCATCTAACAGCAGCCGCTAGACTGCACCCTACCTATTTGGTGTGGCCACAGCAGAACAAAGGGGCTGTGTCTAAAGCCATCTAGACTCTTGGAGGGAGGTATGAGGGAGAGGGACAATTACAGTCACAATTCCAAATACTTTTAATGCTGTCCATTTTACAACACATACCAAACTCCTATGGTCTGCTTGCTTTCAAATCACAGTACATGACTTTAGAAGTAGCCATCTAGTCCTCTATACTCGGACAGTGGGCATGATGAACTGCTGGAGGGAGTAAGAGTCACACTTCCTACGGAGTGGCTCTGAGTCCCCAGCATTCTTCCTTAATCTCCTTCTTAACTTTCCATCTGTCACTTGTCCCCCTACCGCAGAAGCTCAGCCTTCTAGTCCTCTGAGCTCCCTCTGGGCGCTAGGCTTCCAGCTCTGTGGCCCATCCGGTCGGCTAGGGCGGAGTTCGCCTTGCAAGGAGTCTGTGGAGTTGCAGCCAGGATTCAGCGGCTGGGGCCTGGCCACGGGGGCGCGCAGGGCGGGCACGGACCTATCTGCCAGCACGTGAACTCCACCTCCACGCTGGCTTGGCGCCGAGCGGCGGGGCTGCTGGTCTCCGCCCCGCTCCAGCGCCGCCTCAGCTCTTGGCATAGTAGTCTCAGTTCCTGATCGAGCGGAGCTGGCTCCTGGCTGCAGAGCACCGCGGCATGCCCCCCAGCATCGGAGTGGCCGAGCCAGGACTGGAAATACGCGTGCGACTGGAAGCCTAGCACTGCGCAGGCAACGGCTCAGCCAGGGACAGCCCGCAGGAGCAGGTAAGCAACCCGCCGCCGCCAGAGAGGAGCCGCCCCCGCGGCCACCTGGCCCAGTGGCCAGCCTTGGGACAGGAGCTGGCAATGTGCCCTGTGCTAGTGAAGGAGGAATTTGGTCCCACATTTTGGTCGTGGATTTTTTGCCTGTTGCTCATGTCCCCAGCCCATCTTGCTTCCCAAGAAGGGCCATGTTCCCCGCAGGTGATGTATTTCTCTGCAAGGTTATTGCTCCCTAAGCTCTGACTCAAAGGTAAAAGAGGAAAGCCGCTTGATGATTCCGATCTGGAAATCCTAATCAGTAGGATATGCACACAGCGAATATGCGAAGAGGGGCGTGTTTCTCTCTCTCTCTCTCTCTCTCTCTCTCTCTCTCTCTCTCTCTGTGTGTGTGTGTGTGTGTGTGTGTGAGTGTTGTGCTTGCGCTCGTGTGTTTGGCATTTTTATTATTTTCCTGTGATTATTTCCTGTAAGGTCAAAAACCAAGTCATATGCACTATTTCCCCGTTTACATGCATACATGTGTATGTATTTATTTATATATTTGCATATGTATTTATTCTTGAGGTAGGAAGGAAGAGAAGAGGAAGGTTGGACTGAGGCTGATAAAGGGAAATCAGTGCCGAGCATGATCAGCGTCTAGAGGTGAACTTTGGAACCACAGTAAATCAAGGCAGCGACTAGTGGGTGATAAACCCTTCTCCGGGTAGATTATAGAGAAGGTCTAGATGTTCATCCAGTACACAGCAAATCTTTTTGCTTCACAGACAAATGGAAAAGGCAAGCTTTTAAACACTGGACAAAAGGAGAGGAGAGAGAGGGGAGACTTGGCGCTGGAAAGTCAATTGGGGTGGAGGGAAGGCAGATCAGGCTTCAGGGGCTTTTGAGGGGGTATAGAGAGAAGCTATAGGTAGCCACCCTTCTGCAGCCGCCTTGTCTGAAGGTGTCTAATTCCCTCCATTTTCATAGCACATTTGTTCAGGATCCATAGGTCCATGCTTTCTTTTCTTTCTTTCTTTCTTTTTTTTTTTTTTTTTTTTTTTTTTGTGAAATCTGGGTCATGCCACAATGGGAAGAAACTGAAGTGTTTACAACACCAGAAAGATTTGGAGAGAGAGTGATTAAGGCTTAGCTTCATGAAATATTTACACAGCTCTTGCGTGGGCTTTTGTTTGCTCTTGTTGGTGCTTCTGCATATTTTACCTTGATAATGCGTTGAGCAGACTTCTCCCGAAAGAGCCTATTTTCCAGCTGGAAACTATTCTTTCCTTTCCGTTGTGTTCACCATTGGCCTGTCCTGAGTAACAGTTGTGGGAAGAAAGATACATGAGTCAGAGTACAAAGAAGAAAATCTCTATTGCTAGCCTCAGATGGCCAGAGTTTACATAGAGAATCTTCATTGATGAAGAGTAAGGAAGAATTTGTTCAGTTTTTTTCCAAATTTGTGGTGTGTGGTGGATGTGTGTGTGTGTGTGTGTGTGTTTGTTTGTTTAGTGGGGAGACTGTATTGATCGTAAACAGGAAGACAATGTAGTAACCACCATTCCTATCACCAGTCTAGAAGTTCTGTCACTAGAACGCCAAGAACTCAAGAAGACACAATTAGCCTGCTGCTTCAGTGTGGTGAGATGTCACCTAATCATCAAGTACTGTGGGGAACATGGTATAGCATCGCATACTCACGGGGATAGGGGGGGATGGAGGACTAGCTAAATCAGTTAACCTCAGTTAGTGAAGAAGTGTACTTCCGGCAGTATGTACTAAAATTTGAGTGTTTTAATTGCCTCGAAGACTTTCCCAGAACAGTTATTAGTTCTTGATTATGTCTGAGATATACTTTAAAAGACGCATTTAGATACAGCTATCCTTCGCTGTTGGAGTTCTGTCACAAAATCTGCCACTTACTGGGAAGTCGTTAAATATCAGCCATAGAATCCCAAAATGATAGAATACTGGCTTCAGACAGGGAAGGCACAATTTCCCACACAGCTTGCAGTGGGGCTCTCCAAGGTGGCTGCGTCTCCCCTTTCTGCACTCGCTCCTTCATTCAGCATCCAGTCACTTGCTCATTCAGGTACTCAACTTGTGTTTTCTTGAACAAGGCATGGCCCTTGAATGTGAAAAACAAGAATAAGTAAGACAGAGTCTGAGCTTAAAGCACTTAATGAAGAGACAGATGACGATGCCTAAGAAACTGTGGGAAGGAGCTTCAGTGGTCAGGTTGAGGAGGTGAGGCAAACAAGGCCAAGTTTCCTAGGAACCATACCGATGAGAGCTGCCGCTCTGATTAAGGGGAGAGGGAAGGCCCTTAAGTAAGCAGATGCCTTGGAAGGCAGTCCTGGGATGGGAGGCCCTAAAGGTAGAAGATGGGGAGAAAGAAGGAAGCAACTGTCTATTGCCAAGCTCAGTCCTGAAGGGCTTTGACCTCAGTCTTAAGGAAACTCTTCTCTTTGGAGACAGTGAATCCATTCATGGCAGGGCTGTTCTAGATTGTGCTTCTCCACCTCTATAAGCTTCCAAGATCGGCAATTCATAGTTTAATTTACATTTGTCTGCTTAGAGGAGAGAAGGGCCTTCGAGTAAGCCGTGACTTTCTGTGCCTCAGCCACCTCATCCCCAGTGTCCATCACTGCTTGGTATGTTGTGAAGGCCCATGAAGGAGTAGAGATTGAGTTTATAAAAATGAATTTTAGAAATGTGGGGAATCCTTCCTGGTTTTGCTTTTAATTTGTATTTATTTACTTCTTTACTCATTTGTTTTGAGACGTGGTCTTGCTCTGTAACACAGACTGCTTTTAAACTAACAATCCCCCTGCCTCAACCTCTCAAGTTCAATGAAAGAAGGCATACACTACCACACCCAGCTTGGAAATCTTATTTTTATGATAACAGAACTCAGGGATAAAGGATGGATACTAGTGACTACAGAAAGCATTTTAAATACCTAAAATGACTCCATAAGACAAATACAATCAACAAATAACAGTTATATCTGGAAAATGGATCAAAGAAATCTCAAATGACACATAGAGGTCTGTGTTAATTTTTAAATGAGAGATATAATTATATCAACCATGCAATAATTGGTAACCAACCTCCTAGACCTGGGCATTTCAAACCTCGAGGACAGTTTAGGGAATATGATCAACACTTTTATTGTTGAATATACCAAGGATAGCATTTAAAGGTAGGTGCAGCCCAGAGGAGTTTTAAATGGTTTGTTTTTACGTAAGTACATAATGAACCATGATGTAAGTGTGTGCTCCTGCTTCCCATGTCCTGACTCATCCAGCTGCTACTTACTGCTTTAGGTTTACAAGATGCAGGAGTTGAACTAAGATTACCACACAGGCTTTTATGCACTGACCTGAGCAGTAGAGCTGCATCACTGAGAAGATAACACCTGGGAACTGACCAAATGTGTCAACAGAAATTCAGAGGACACAGTCCTAAGTGCGGAATCCATCCGCAAAGCTTCAGCGAGGGGTTGGAGCTTGAGTTAGTTTGCGAACGATGGTTGGATTCAAGTGGGTAGTGAGAAAAGGGCAGTACGTAGACATGTAGAAAATAGGTGTTTACTATAGAGAAACCATCAACATATGAATCATTCTTCGAGTTGCTAATTTCTCACTGCCTACTCTCTATCCACATCCTACTCTACCTGGCAACAGCAACAGTCACTGATACAGCAAACTCTGAATGACTGCACACTGTCATTAATGACTGCCTTCATGTTGTAGCCCAGAACTTTAATTGCTCTTCCTGCAAGTCCTCTGCTATATGTCATTTGTCCTATACTTTTCCATTCCTCCCCATTTCCCTATAACTGATAGTTTATTCTCTATAGCTGAATATATAGCATTTAGTGTTGTTGGTCATTTTATAGCTAAATTTTCTTTTCTTAATACTTCCAATTTCAGGAAAATCTAGATAGAAAGGTCATTACAGCAGGAACCTGTCCTTTCCTTCATTATTTTTCTTGTTACAGTCGTTTCCTGGTTGGACCTAGATTCGGTTGAATATGATAATTGAACTTCTGACTATTGACAAGATGTACCAACGGGTAGCATGACTCATTTCTCAGAACACAGCTACAAGCACTCAAACAGAGGGGGCAGGGAGGTGGTCAGGTTATTGTCACGTTCAAACAGCAAGTATGCATCATGAACAGAATCCCAGGCTGGGCACCATCACTAAGCAGCCACAAAGCTAAAAAGCTTCAGTGGTCAGCACGCCATTGGCCATATTTTCTTTCCTTTGGTTATTTGGAGTTATGACTGTCATTTTAGTCTAATGTTTAAATATGTTTGTGTGAAACATAAATATTTTGGGTTGGCAAAATGGCTCAGTGGATAAAAACACTTGCTGCTGAGCCTGATGACATGTTCTAGTCACACTTTCTGGAAGGAGGGAACCTCTAGGGAGTGTATCCCCTATGCCAGACATATACTCAATAAAGGAAGGAAGGAGGGAAGGTGGGAGAGAAGAAGACAGGGAGGGAGGGAAGGAAGGAAGGAAGGAAGGAAAGAAAGAAAGAAAGAAAGAAAGAAAGAAAAATGATAAAATTTAAATTTTAAAAAAGGCAGTTTGCACCTGCATGCTCTGTTGTGGGTACCTAATGGTTATTGTGAAGAGAAAAAGTCACAAGAGAAAGTTTTGGTGCCCTTAAAAACAATTTGACTTTCTCCCATGTCTTGCTGTCTCCCCTCTGGAATAAATCCACACTGTGATATTGACCCCCTCTGAATGAAGCTATGCCTTTTCTCAGAACAACAGCACTAGGCCATATAGATTCACCAGCATGAGTTCATTGATTTGGAGTCAAGATATGAGGATTTTAGTGTTTCCCTACTCCATCGTTCTTTTCCTATAGCTGAGTGTTTATATTAATGGTAATCTGAAAGCTTAGCATTCCATTTAGGTTTGGGACGATAAATTTGGAGGCTGCATTTGAATTGGAAAGACATTCTTGAATTAAATGGGGGAAATGTCTATATAATCTTATA